AAGTATTCACAGCCTTTGTCATGAAGCTCAAAATTGAGCTCAGCTGCATCCTGTTTCCACTGATCATACCTGAGATGTTTCTAGAGCCTAACTGAAGTCCACCTGTGGTAAATCCAGTTGATTGGACATGATTTGGAAAGGCACACACCTGTCTATATAAGGTCCCACAGATGACAGTGCATGTCAGAGCACAAAACAAGCATGAAGTCAAAAGCACTGTCTTTAGACCTCAGAGACAGGATTGTCTCGAGGCACAAATCTGGGGAAGGACACAGCCAAGATATCAAAAGAGTGGCTTCAGGACAACTCTCTGAATGTCCTTGAGTGGCCCAGCTAGAACCCAGACCTGAATCTAATTGAACATCTGTGGAGAGATGTGACGATGTCTGTGCACCGACGCTTCCCATCCAACCTGATAGGGCTTGAGAGGTTCTGCAAAGAGGAATGGGCAAAACTGCCCAAAGATAGGTGTGCCAAGCTTGTGGCACCATATTCAAAAAGACTTAAGGCTGTAATTGCTACCAAAGGTGCATCAACAACATATTGAGCTCAGGCTGTGAACACTTATGTACATATGATTTCTTAGTTGTAGTTTTAAAAAAAAATAAATTTACAAAAATCTCAAAAAAGCTTTTTTCAAGTTGTCATAATGATGTATTTTGTGTAGAATTTAGAGGGGAAAATGAATTTAATCCATTTTAGAATAAGGCTGTAATATCAAAATGTGGTAGAAGTGAAGCGCTGTGAATACTTCCTGGATGCACTGTACCTGCTGTATTGTCTCCTGTTCCCTTCTCTGCATTAAAACCAAGTTCTGATTTAAGCCGGTCGCCTTTATAACCACAACACACAACGATCACCCTGACTACAGAGGTGTGTGGCGGCGTCCGCATAAACTACTTCTTCCTTCAGCAGTTGCAGCTGAGCGCCTCATGTCTGGAATCAAACTTTCAGTCAATAACGCCCATCAACACACAGATACATGACGTATCTGTAGCGAACTGTCCGCCTCTATATAATGGTGACATCTCTCACTACACACTCCTACGTCTCAGCTCCGGTAAAGCTGCAGACACGAGAATGTGAGTTTAGAGTGCACGCGTTAATAAGCAAACATCCAACTACCACAGCCTAAACCATCAACATTGCGGTCTGCAAACACTACACAGAATATCAAAGGCAAGAGGTGCTCGATAAACAGGTTATAAATACTGGAACTAGGGGAGACCGGGACAAGATGAACCTGAGGGTAAATTGTCGTGTCTACTGTTTACATGCCATTTTTTTTCCTCACTGAAGCAAACTTTACCCTCTTAAACCCTGATCAGCAAATGAAGCTACATTTGGGCATATTCTGGAGACATTTGGCATATTTAGGGTTGAAACACTTGGGAGCGGGGTACGTGGTGGGTATATTTTTTTCATAATCTGATCACATTTTTGAACATTTCAGGCATAAACTGGCATACGAAGGGCGCATTTTGGTACTTTTCAGGTTCATTTTGGAATTTCCTGAGCATACTAAGATACATTTGACATATTAAGGGCACATTTTGGCTTCATTCTGTCATTATCTGGGCACATTTTGTTTCAGTTGGAGTACATTTTGGCATTTTTGGCCGTATTTCTTGCATTAAATTCTCTAGCAGGCTCATATCAGGCTCCATATGGGCTTAGGAGGTTGGGGGAAACTACATTATTTCTTTTAGCTGTAATGAACAGAGACCATTGAGTCTTCATGTAATTACTGTGGTAGGTGCATGAGGTGACTGTTCCTAAGAACCTTTTATCTACCAAAAAAAATAAATCTATACACGTGTATGTATGTTGCCCACCGGATACCTGACTCTCCAGATGTCTGAGAGGCCTGATCTAACCATAGAGTCGTTTATCATTTTGGCCAATTTTGAAGGAGATCGTTTCTCAGTAGATTTGTCTAGAGTGGAATTTAAGACACTGTTATGCCCCGGTCTAGGGGAACCTTTGGCATAACATGAATTTTGCTCCACCAGACTTTCCGCTCCAAAAG